TTGGTTGACAAGGTGCAGTCCTTAGAGTTGAAGAGTTCCTAAACTCAGCTCTAACTCCAGCACTGATAGACAGCGATTTATGCTGAGTTTAGGAATGATCTAATAGATTACCACTCCTGGAAGTATAAAAAAAAAACATGAAAAACAAAAAACTAATAAGGAAATGCCTATCTACTGAATTTTTTAATTTTAAACAGAAATAAATTTATGATTGAACCAATGAGCCATCGGTGATTCAATTGATGAATAAAGTAGTGCACTGGATTCCATTTATGAATCCATCTTTAAGTTTAGGAATGGTAAGATGGATGCCGGTGCCAACAAATTAGCTCAGCGCTGAGTTTAGGAAATTTCTCTTGTTTTGATTACCTGTTTCATTTAAAATTTTATACTTTGAAAAAATGCCCAAATTTTTAGAATGTTCCTAAAATCAGAGTTAATTCATTAATGTATTCCAGATGCTTATTAATGATTTCAGTAATGAATTTAGGAACTTGCCCAATCGGAAGTCTTGGTAAAACTTTTTTGTCCTGTTCTATTGAAAAAACGCCCTTTCCTTTTGGTGAACAATTAATTACAGTTGAAACACAATATTAAAAAAATCTAGGAAATATTAAGAAATTTTAAAAATTTAATGATTATAAAAAAAAAAATAGAATCTGAAAATTTATAATCTAAGACATTTTTCATATGAGCTATAGTTTTAACTAAACGTGTCCAGTAGTAGAGGTGGTTATTGTCTATTATAAATAGCAAATGTCTTTAAGTATGAAAACTTCAATTAAAAAATATATTATTTTATTAGCTAGAATTTGTACAGTTTAGGCAATGAATATTAATTATCATTAATAGTTATTGTTTCGTGACCTGTAGTTTTTATTCATATGTGATTATTTTATATGATCCATTGCTGTTATTAATTATTGTTTTAGAGTGAAAATTGAAATGACCAACACCAGCAGCAACAAAAATAACAAATGATACAGAAAGATGATAACTTTTTCTTCTGGTAAGATCAGCCATGATATGATAATTTTCTAATTTTATTTAGAAAAAAATGAAAATATAAGATATCCAGAGTTGGAATGTGCCCTACTATCCACCAACTATAAACCAAACTAAGTTTTGGTTTACGGTTGGTGACCCCTTGCCCAACTAAGGTCATCATATTTTCCCATTGTTATTATTTATTTAAGAGTTGTATAAAATAAAACTTAATTTATTAGTGACAGCTATGTATACAAAAATTTTAATTTTCCTGAATTGAAAACATTTTCCTTGTTCAAACTACAACAACATTTGTAAATGTGCTTCATTTTTCTAGCAAAAAAAAAAAAAAAATTATGTGTATTCCCTCTCACTTCCATATTCTGGAAGGTTTCAATTGACAAAACAGTATAAAAATGGAAACAGATTCAAATTTTCCTTTAAACGGGTTAATACCATAATATTTGAGCTTGCAAAATAAAGCTATTAAACTATTCAACTAACAATATAAAAAATATACTGTGACAGCTCTGGATTAGTCTTCTGAATATTTGTAAGGCAGAGCCACATATATGTTTTGTTAATGTTGATGAATCTTTCATTGAAAAAAAATTACCTACTATTCCATCATAAGATTTTTCCACCCACGAACTTTTCTGCTCTGATAGACCACCTAATAATGCATGTAACATCCCTGCTTGTACCACCATTTCCAAGATCGATCCATTAATTTTCCTAAACAAAACAAGATCCTCAACAACTTATGCGAAACCAAAAGATCAACCAGATTCAGGATCCTATGAAATCTTTATGAAATAATGTGGTCAGAAATTTGCCCCCTAATTGACCACTTTTTACCGCTTCAATTCATAATCATACCTCTAATTTGAAGTAGACTTGTTGAGTGAATTTTCTTTTTTCTCACCTCTTTTTTATAGTAGCGTGTATTACTGGTGGATTATCACTAATTTATGAGAGATAAGAAATTAAAATTAAATATATAAAAAAAAATCTAGACTGAAAAACAAAACAGAAACAATTATATACTAAGCTTGAATAATATTTATTTTTCAATGCTGTTTGAAGACAGATGTAACCAGTATTTTTAAAACTACTCTTTCTCATCTTTATTACCATATTAACTAAATTATGCTGTGTAGATGTGACAAGCATTAATCATAATAATATCACAAATAAAAATCATAGCTAACAAAAATGGTAAGTTATTGTTTACCAATATCTGAGTTAAAAGTTAACTGATATAAACTAAGTTATAAATATTTTTTGGATTCAAATTCACAATGAGTGGGAAAAATTAAATTAAATACAGATGATCTAGTTCATAATGATAAAATATCCTTTGAAAAAAAAAAAAATGTGTACAAACTATGGGAGAGATGAGTGCCATAAGATAAGTAAAAATGTAGTAAAATCTAGTTATTATTTTATAAATAACTACTAAACTACTACCTTTGGAATAATGTTATAAATGAAAATTTTCAATAAAATGAACGAATGATATATGATATTATTAGAATGCCCTAAATTGAAAATTTCAGAATAATTCATGAATGCATTATTAGTTAAAAGTAAAGATTTTATATATATACTCAGTCACAATCCTAGGAATTGCATCACTTATTTTTTTTAAAATCTTATGTTGATAACATTTATTCTATTGAATGATTTTGTTTTTCTTTACTTATTTAGGTTGCAAGAAAACTTTAAAAATGCTTCTTATTTGTTTTAACTAATACCAGGACAAAATCTATAATTGTGACCAGTTTAAAAAAAAACTGTTCTTGTCCGAAAATATAAGAATATGACGTGAAATGAAATGAAGCAATTTTCACGGGAAATACTAACAAGGAAAGGGTACCACCAATCAACAGTTGTCATAGTTTTGAAAAGAAAAACAAACGCACCAGCAAAAGAAAGGAAGAAGAAAAAAAGGAATTGGGAGGAGAAAAAAAAAAGAACACTTAATGGTGCAATTGTTTTTAGAATATTGTTTCAAAACTGGCAAAGCAATATCCGGAGTGCTGGTAAATAAAATAGAATTTTTACTAGGTGATGGAACTTCTATGACCGCAACTGTATATCTGTATACTCATTTGCAAGTGAAGTGGATCATTGCAGTAACTGTTTATAAAATTGTGAGGAATCAATATTTTTGCAATATGAAACCTGTCAATTCTTTATATTCACAATGGCTTAATTCCTTCGAAATGTACTCTCTCAAATATAAACAAAAGGCGGAATTACCCTCAGCTTAGTTCGTTTACAGCTTGTGTGCCTATTTTTTTCACTAATCATTCTTAGAATTTTTCATTAACCCTTTCTAAAAGTCCTTTTGAGTATTAAAAAAGATCTGATAACGTCTTACAACTGCATACAGTCTGGAAGGAGGTGATACCCAGAGAAATGTAGTATAATTCGCGCATAGAGACATTACCAGAACGATAGTTTCTTTGAATATACACATGATGGAGGGCATCAAAGATCTACAATAGTACAACAAACCGATATTTGACTGTCCGGGCTTTAAGGAATTACTTCATACTTACCGAAGGCTAGCTGATGATTTGTTTTCTGCCTGTAATTTGGAAATTAGCTTCAGACAGTTAGAAGAAGGATGATAGAAAATGGATTGCACCGGGAAGATCTCTGCACTTTCCAGGACTCCTCCCACAAAGTTTTAACTTTATCAAAGACTTCAATTAGCTCAGATTCACACATCATAAAATGATCGTGCCTGGGATAGCTTCCTGTTCACATATGAGTCCAAATTTGCACTGCACCACAATTCAAACAGAGCAAGAGCTACCAGAAGGTCTGGTAAGTATTACAATCCTTCTAGTCTTGCCTGTTTAAACGTTTGGAGGAGGCTCAATTACAGTGTGAGTATATCCTGAGGCACTCGAACAAAGCTTGTGGTGTTATGAAATGGGACTATGACTGCTGAGCATTACTTGGACAGAGTCTAAGCACCAATAGTGCAACCTATGGTAGAAGCAATTGGCCCATAATTCATTTTTGAGGATGACAACACTAGACCTCATAGAGTTAAACTTGTCCTGCTTGCTCTCTAGACTCAAAGAGGAATAGAAGATGATCCCTCAAGCTAGCATCAAAGTACTAATAAGGAGTATTCCTTGTCAAACAGTAATTAATGCTCGGATCGACAAGTTACCAAAACAATAAAAATTAATAAAGTTTTTCATACTTTTAAATTTACCTTTTAATTTCTAAACCCCAAAAAACTAAAGTAATTCTACAATATTTCTAAATATGTAAAAGTAAATTATCTTTTAAAAATTAAAATCTTTCAATAAGTGTTTTCGTCTTATTTTGACTGATCCACTTCATTTGCATGAGTATATATATATATATATATATATATATATATATATATATATATATATATATATATATATATATATATATAATATATATATATATATATATATATATATATATATATATATATATATATATATGCATAGAAAAATTAAAAGAAAAAAATCATTTGAAAAGTTAAAAATATTTATACAGAGGAAAATAAGGAATAATCTATTTATACTGCTTTTGCTTTTGTTTTATCAAATAATGGGTATATTAAAAATAATATTATCCTCTTGAAATGAAATCATAAACTAACACATTCACAAGCAAAACAAACTAAAGAATTGAAAATAATAACAAAACACGTATATGGCTAACTGTGTGTGTTATTATAGCTTTTTGCAGATAACTGTTAATAACTGAAAAAAAAATCAATTCTATATAAGAGGCACAAAAAGTTTAAAAAGGGATAGAAAGAGGATGAAAGTTAAAATTCAACCACTTGCCGAATGTAGTGGAAAATTTTTAAATGGCATAATTAATAATAGCTGGAAGGAAAAAAAAGTAACACTTTAAAAATAATCTCTGTCTTTATTTGGAAAAAACTTCAATTCCATATATACAAAAAATAAAAATGTCTTATTTTGTATTATTCATTAATATCAGGCAGTTAATCAACAAACAGTCTCATGTTTTCCGTCGCATTTTTTTCTTATTGATAGATTCAATTTGTTTAATGATATGAGGGTACAATACAATGTTGGCATTGTCACCAATAACCATATCCAAGTGAGAGAAACTTTTGTCCTCTACTGGAAAGTTCACTAAAAGATGGGGTAGCGCATCTGCTGTTTTTTTCACAGACTGAAAGTAAAAAATTGCATTAAATAGGAGACATGTGAAAATATTCCTAATAAAATAAAACTTATTGAAAATTTTAAACAAACTTTTAATGTCTGTGAAATCTTAATTATTACTTTCACTTACCAATATATGTAATATATATTTAGGAAAAGTATTGCGATCGTGAAAATTTTTAAATCTCAGTTGTCAACGGAAATACGTGTTTTGAGGTCTCCTAGGTGTGTGAATGCGTGTGTATGTGCGCGCGCTCAAGTGTATGTGTGGATGTGTGTGAACAGTCTTGCTCAAAAACAAAAAGTCATACGAAACTGATATTTGGTATTTAAGATAGAAATATAACTTGGATGTGACAGCAACTTTTTCATCAAAATCGACTAACCAGAAGCCACTTTATATCAACGGTGAAACACATTTTTACAATTTTCTCAAAAACGGCTCCAACGATTTTGATTAAACTCGATGGATCATTGTAAAATTAAGTGGTCTTTAATAACATTTAGGTCTTATCCCCATTGATGTCACTTTACAGGGCTTAAATACCTATTGTTCATATACGCCTTCCTCTAAAGTACCTGTAATTTGGTTTATTTTAAATAATTAACTATCTTTCATTGTTAAGAGTTATGAAAAAAGGCTAAATATAACTTTTGAAAAAAAAATGATAATTGAATAAAGGATAAAAAAAGAAAAATGCTTATCAAGGTCGAAAATGAATCTCCGGAAATAATAGTCAGAAGGTATAGGAATAATATATCGTTGGAAAGCGGAGAATTTTAGAAAAAATAATATCTAATAAACAAAGTTGTAGAAGGTAAATCATAGAATGACAAAAATAATACAAACAATAATTTCAGAAAACTAACATTATTTAACATAAATCACATGTTTTCAAGAAAATTAAAAGAAATTTTCTTGCTAAACTTAAATTTTTAAATTTTTTTTTAAGTTTAACAAAAAGTATTTACAATCCATAGAATCAAAGCAATGACATTGTTTAAAATACTATTTCATTGTACTTGTACAATTGAAAGAAGGAAGTGAAATATAAAAATATTTCATGGATATGTTTATAACTTTAAATATATTTACTGTAGTTTAATAACTCTGGATCTAATATTATATTTAAATAATTAGGTATCTATCGTCCCTTTATTCTGAAAAATTATCATATAAGCTTTTAGAAAATAAAATTAGTGAATGATTTGATGAATTTTCCCTTTGTGATATCTCAACAGTGTCCACTTACAATTAGTGTGACAACTTTTGACCTTTCTATGACAGGCAATACAAATATCGTAATTCCATTTTAGTAAACTTTGCAATGGAAAATAATTGTTTAATAACTAATAGTAGTATGATCCATAATCAATGGATCGTACAATCCATAATCAACCATTAATATAATAAATAGGATTTTTGTCATTTAAATGGTATCAATGATTATTTAACTGTAAGATTTAAGCTTTAGCTTGGTTAAAAATGCACTTCAAAATTTTTATAATTGGTAATACCCAACATTATCAGAAAATAATTTCTATTCAAAGCATAGCGGTAAGTGAAAGTTGTGAATTGACAATTAATAATATGCTCTTATGCTCACTCAAATTATTATTTATGTTATTAACTAACCCCATACTATTTAATTACTTTCAATGGCAATGCTAACTATTTTTGAGGTACTAATATTAGATAGGAAAATATTTACTTATTGTCACTCCCTCTTTCAAAAGATTTCTTAATTTAAACTACTAAAATATAGTAAATTGAATTTTAATATTTAATTCAGGTAATGACAAGAGAGAGGTAGTTGATTGTACTAGTATCATAACTAGAAATATATAATATATAATATATTCCATTCAAAAATATACTTTTTGGAAGTAACAACAAAAGAAGTTAACTGGCCATGATACCAATTTGAACACTAAACTCAGCGCTACTAGATATATGTAAAATAAATAATAATTAATTAAAATTCAATATAACTTACTTTTTCATCCATGAATCCGTCATTGTAACTCCAGAATAGACCTACGGGTGTAGTGAGTAATTTTAAATTATACCTTGGTGGCTTCGTCGAATTGTACTTCTTCAAATTGTCGAATAACCAAGGATGATAGTCAAATTGAACAAAGTCATCTACAAAGATAAAATAAAAACTAATAAATTTCTCTATGTGTTTAAAAATAAAAATTTGCAAGGCATTTTCTATCTTGCAAACAGAACATCAGTACAAATATTATACTAATTTTGTCAACTAAATGCAACTCAGAAACAAAAAAAGCCTCTTCGATAAAAAGTGAAATTAAAGTACTACACTGTCACTATTAAAATAATTTAAAAATATACAAGATAAAGTGAAATTAAGCAAACAAAGCATACAGTCATCCATTTTGGATTAGTTTACCTGCCAGTACAAGTTGATAAACATGAAGCACAGTTTTCAACGAAGTCCCTGACACATGTGGTAGAAAGTTTGACCAATCTTTCTAAAAACATCAAGGAAAACTTAATAACTTATATTAATTATAGGCTTTAAACAATTATTAATATTTTCTAATTGAGGGTTGATTGTAATGAATAATGAAGAGATGGTTGGGGTGATCAGTCAAAATAAAAATGGCAAAAATAATTAATATTATTTATTTTAACATTTGCCAACGTTTTGACCCAAAGTTCAGGGCTAATCGAAGGCCTGAACATTGGGTCAAAACGTTGGCAAATGTTGAAATGAATATTATTATTTATGTTTTTATTTTGACTGATCATCCCAACCAACCATCCTTCTCTTCGTTAATATTTTCTATATCTTAATTTTTATTAAGGGAATGATAATATGTTTCAGTAGTATATTTTTTACATGAGCAAATTCAATTTATAGATAACAAAAAATAAATAATATTATGTTATGTACTAGTTAGATTGAGACTTTTACTAAAAGATAAATTAATCAATATTTACAACAAAAATAAATGGGTACCCTTAATTAAAATAATTAATTAAGGGGAAAAATCTGACGGTTGAGCGAGATTTCAGTCAAATAACCTCCATGCTCTACCGTAGACCAAGAAACAGTGCATTTCCTAAATAGAACTGAGCCCAAGACTCTTCATGGGTTGTAGTGGTACAGAGAAAAAAAAAATTGAAGTCTGGCATTATTACTTCATTATTATTACTAAAAAAATTCATGTTTATTCTTCCATCTTGATTAATGTTCATAAAGAGTACAATTCAAAAGCATCAATTATAATAGTTAAATCTTATGTTTTATGAATTGAAACTCTATTTAATTTGTTCAAATACTGAAAAAAATATTTTGTGAGAACTCAATTATTTTTGATATTGTAGGGTCCACTGAGATTAAATAAGTGATTTGAAAGAGAAATCTGCATTCAATGCAAAAAAGGGTTTTAATTCAAAACTGGTTTTAAATGAGTTATCATTCCAGACATATTTAAAATCTCAAGGGCTGTAGTAGACAAACGGAAACGGAAATGGAAACTGGAGTGAGGAAGAGTACGACGAGGTGATTGAGGAAGAAGTAGAGAGAGCCATATACAAAATGAAAACTGGAAACTGCGCCAGGTCGGGATGGTGTAGTAGGTGAATTAATAAAGAATGGTGGCCCTGAGCTAGTGCGAGCATTGCAAGTTCTTTTACAGAAAGCCTGGGATGAAAAAAAGGATTTCATCAGATTGGGAATATGATATTATAATACCGATTCACAAGAAAGGATGTCAGGCAGAATACTCTAACGACAGACCCATATGGCTCTCGCCAGTTGCGTACAAACTATATACATCCATATTGGTGGGTCGCTTAAGACCACTAGTTGAGCACCTAATAGAAGAGCAAGCTGGGTTCAGACCCGGGCGCCAAACCCATGACCACATTTTCTCACTAAGAAATATCCTACAGAAATCCTGGGACCTTGATAAAAATATGTACCTGGCTTTCCTTGACCTCAAATCTGCCTTTGACTCGGTTCCACGAGATGAAATATGAGAAGCTCTCAGATCGAAGAATGTTCCGAGAAGGTAGACGCGGAAATATCCAACAGGACTAATAAGGCAAATATACTACCAGATATGTAACACTGTGGTAGGGAAGAGAGAAGTAGGCAAAGACGTCAAGCTACACATCTTCAAGACGGTGTATCTACCTATATTTTTGTATGGAGCGGAGAGCTAAATACTAACAGACCTACAGAAGAGTAGAATCACCGCAGCCGAAAAGAAATTTCTGCGAAGGACGGTTGGGAAAACAAGGAGAGACCAAGTTTGCAATGATAGTATTCGTCAGGAACTGCAGATGGCCCCACTGAAAGAGCTCCTAGAAACTCGTCAGCTAAAGTGGTTCGGCCATGTTATCAGAATGGATGACCACAGAGATCCTCTAAAGACCATGAAATATGTCCCAGATGGCTGAAGACCTAGGGGCCGCCCCAGAATGTCCTATCTTGACTACATTGAGCGACTCTGTAGGGCGAGGGAGAAGAACATTCGACAGGCGAGGAACCTAGCTAGAAATAGGGAAGAATGGAATTCCTGGCTGAATGCTCCTCTACGCTGAAAGGCACTAAAGAGGAAAGCTAAAGAAGAAAAGGAAGGGCTGTAGTAGAATACAGAATGCTTGTTCTAATTACATTATTCAATATTTTTATTCATCAGTTAAAATTTGGGATATGTGAAACAAAATGCAAACGTATTAGTGTAAAAGAGTTTAAGCCCCAATCAAGGGCCTAATATTCTTTACCTAACTAAAATTAAATAAAAGTTCAATGGTTCTCTTAGAGGAAAGAGTTTTTTTTCAAGAATTCCTTTGCCTTTTTTTTTCAAGACATCCTTACCATTATTCCAATGCATTAGCTTTATGAGGGGAGAAAAAAAATTTTTAGTGGTTGGATACTAAAGTTGCGCAACCAATCGCATTTCACTAAAGAAATAAAACCAATATTTATGATGGTATATACATACAGTGGCTCACAGTCAAAATGATAGAAATTATTGAATAAATAAATAGTTCAATTTATATTATATTAAAAACAATATTTATTGTTATCAATAAACATCCTAGTAAATTGTTATTTTCTTATGTTCTTTTTCTTATTTTTATATTATGTTATGTTTTATGTTCTTCTTATACAATGTTTCTTTGTGTGGGGATGTATGGCGGCTACTGGTGTAGGAAATCTTCACATGGTATAGTAATAAACATGTTTACAAAGATATTTTGAGAAGAAACTTGAAAGAAATTGAGGAAAATTTGGGTTAAAAAAAAAATTTTATTTTTATCAAGATAATGAACCCAAACACTCTGCCATGTTAGTTAAGGAATGGCTACTTTAGAACTGCTCCAAAGTTATAAAAACACCACCACAATCATCAGACTATAATATGATAGAACACCTGGGGGCAAAATTGAAGGTAGAAATTTAAAAAACACAAAATTTCTGGCAAAGGAGACTTTAAAAAATATCTTCTCAAAGAATGGAACAGGCTAAGCCCAGAACCACCAAAAACTTAGTCAACTCCATTACAAACTGATTGAAAGGAGTGATAGAAAATAATTGCTTGCCTACAAGATGTTGAACTAATAATATTTAAAAGTTAATAAGAAGTGAGTTGTATCATTTTGACTGTGAAGTAAAATTATCCAGTTTTTTTTTTATTATTTTTTTTGAATAATCACAGTTGAATATTTTAATTTTATTGACTTTGTACATATTTAAAATGAGATTATAAATAAATCTGTTGAAGAGCTTCTGGTTTTATTTATTTACTGTAACCATTGAATAAATAAATTTTGTTCCGTCTCAGGCCAATTTCCACCTTTGACAACTATGTTTGTTATTAACTCAAATTGCTGTCTGTCAAATTGTTTATAGTCATATATTATATGTTTAAAATTTTGAATCTGTCCGTCTTCATTGCAATAGTCTGTTGTATAATGTTGAATCTTTTAAGACATTGTTTTGTATTCCCATGTTCTCTGTCAGTACTTGCGTAAGTTTATAGTCAGTATTGTGAAGGCGTCTGTAATTGTGAAATGTAATGTTTGTTATTAATCTATATAAGCTTGGTGACCTGGCTGAGGTCACCCATATTTGATCCCATCTTTTGATGAAATCCAACTTTAAATTCATCTTAATATAGGATAAAGGAGCTTGATGATATGAAGGTGGCATATCATGTTTAGCTACTTCTTTTGCAAGGCAATCGGCTCGTTCATCACCCTTAATCCCACAATGTGCTTTTATCCATTTTAGAATCACTACTTTCCCTACAGTTTTCATCATTAATAATTGATTTCTAATTTGGTCAGTCAAGTAATCATGAATGTCTAAATTATTAACAGTCTAGTAGAATTTTGTAATCTATATTTATAGTAATGTGTGTGTTCGTTTGTAGAGAGCAGTTATATATGTATTCGGTCACCTTTAAAACAACAAATTCCTCTGCCTGGTTATTCAAGCAATATGATTCTAATTTATATTGATATTCTGTATTTCTACCATCTTGAGCTCTGAATTACCATACACATCCAATGTTCTCACTGTCCTTACTAACGTCAGTAAAAACATCAATATTTTCAGAGGTAATTTTTGGTCCAGTCCATAAACTTTTTGCAGGGTGTAGCCAAGATTTACAGTCAGTGATTCTTATGTATATATATATATATATATATATATATATATATATATATATATATATATATATATAAGAATCACTATTCATATATATATATATATGATGATATCATGGTTTTACTGTTTATTTCACCTAAGTACCATTAGTTCTATGAAAACTTTAAATATCTCAAGAACAGGCTTACCAAACAATGGATAAACGAAGACACAACTGAACTAGACTTAATTGAGAAAATAAAGATACAACAATGAAAAATAAAAAAATCAGGAAATATAAAATTGCGAGTAAATAGCAAAAATAACTCAATAAACTTTATGATTTAGTGTTTCAAATTTTACTATGTTTACTAAACTTTATTCCTATTTAGAGGTAGACATATTTTTGAGAAACTTTCAAATGAATAGTAATATGTATTGATTTGTTTATTAACAGTGAATTAAGAAGATGATATGATGATGTTCAAATTTTTTTGTTTTTTTTTTTAAGTATTATTTAGAGCATTTAAGTTTAATTAAATTTAAACCCTTATATTTGCTTTAATTTTAACTAAGAACTTTTTTCAGAAATTATTGATTATCCATTATTGGAAAAGAGAAGCATAAGAAATTTTCAACTGCTCAGTTGAGATGCTAAATGACCAAGCATATCGATCAGTCCTAATAGATGATATGTAATGAGAGAGAACAGAAAGAATAAAGTTTTATGAAACTATCATTCAAATGAATGTTATAATTTATCTCCAGTCTCTCCACAATTTCTTCCTTCTCACAGCTGTCCATAAAGCTCATATCTGGCTAGAATTAACACACATGATGATTCAGGATTCCTAATGAGTTTAAAATAATAGATTCTGTCATATTCTGTAGTTACGCAATCTGAAATAGAATATGCAATGATTGAAAATAATAATTTTTATAAATATTTAATACTGACTGGGTTAATGTTTTTGCAATTCTCTCCTGCAAAAACTGCAACTATGCCCAAACATATGGATTGTGTGATGGCTTGTTCTCCACAGAGAACTTTCAATGCTACCTCTGTATGTGTATTTCTCAAACCTAAATCATAATTACCGGTTTTTCTTGCATTTTCCTGTAACAAAAAAAATATATATATATATACATAAAATATTACAATGTTTTATTAACCAACCTTTATATATTACAGTTTAATATATCATTATAGTCGGATAATAGATCATGAACTGCACTTCAAGGAGGTAAAATAGCTTTTGTTTATTCTTTCTATTAAAACGTTTCGATCCCTGTTTTTTAACATAAATAATGGGATTCCCTTGAGTTTTTAAATTGAGCATCAACACCCGGATGAAATGGTATTTAGGTGATTCCTAAAGTCCTTTTAAATGTAATTACACGAACAATAATACTTTAAGAGATAATTTTTTTTTCCATAAAACATGGTTATATTTTACCATTTTGGGGGTGGGCTTCAGCCCAAAGCCCTCCCCTCCCTGTAGATCCTCCCATGTGCAAAAGTAATGGACTTACAACTAAATGAAACTGATATATATGAATAAATCTTCTTAATCCAGTCCTCTGTTATCGCTGAGCAGTGTGAGGTTCCTTCTTATAGAGCCTGATCCACGAATCTCTATCCTGTGCCAGCTGTCTTCTCCTACTCCAGTCCATTCCTCTCCTGTCAAAGGCTTCTTTATCTCCTTCTTCCCATCTTTTTCTTGGTCTTCCCTGTGGCTTTCTTCCCTCCACTTTGACCTCGTAGGTAGCCCTGGCAATTTTGTTTTCAGCCATTCGCGAGATATGTCCAAACCACCGAAGTTGGTTTTCTTGGATTATCTCCTATATATATATATATATATATATATATATATATATATATATATGAACAAATAAATGTTTAAATCAGTGATTCCACGTCCATAACCTCTTGAACGTGTTCTTGTTAGTTAATGTTATTTCCATTCTTAAACCCGGCACTAAGGAAACATTAAGTGGTTGGCGAAAATTAGAACGCCATATCAGGGAAATGTCAGTAACTAAGTCATCATCATCATCATAATCATAATTCATCCTCTTGAACCGCATTAAACAGTGTGAGGAGGAAGTTTATAGAGCCTTCTCCAGCTCTGCCGGTCTTCCACAAGACGCCTTCTATCGTTCCATTGAAGACCTCTTCTCTGGAAATCGCTCTTTACCTCATCTTCCCATTTCTTTCTAGGCCGTCCTCTTCCTCTCTTGCCATTTACTTTAGATCGATAGGTTTCGCTAGCTATTCTGTTTAGTTCCATCCGCAGAAGATGCCCTAGCCATCTCACATCATTGGCCGGCTTAATCGGTTCGACCTGATGGTGGTGTTGCGTACTCTGTCTCTTCTCGGTTTCCTCCCCAATCTTTCGGAGGAATCGCATTTCTGACGCTTGTATCCTTGATCCATGTTTATTTGTCAGCGTCCATGATTCTGAAGAGTACGTTAAAATGGGAAGAAATGTCGATCTGAAAACAGCTACTTTTGTTTTCTTTTCCACCTCACTCCTGTTTAGAAAACCTTTCTTAACTTCTTCAAACATCCTGCTCGCAGCAGCGATTCGCTCAGTCACCTCTGAATCGATGTATCCATTTTCATTAAGGTGTGCGCCCAAGTATTTGAAGTTTCCTACCTGCTCGAGGATTTTGTCTTCGACTCTGATGACGCTCATATTTCTCCTAGGCTTCTTCCCAATCCTCATTACTTTCGTTTTTACAGGGTTGATAATCATATTAATCTTCTGCAATTCTTCCTTTAATTTATTAATATTGTAATGAAGATTCCTGTCATTGTCCGAAAAAATAACAGAGTCATCAGTGAATGCAAGTATTGAGAGGCTCACCGATCTCAGGTTGGCATATCCCAGGTGAAATTTCCGCATTTTTTCTTTAGCCCTTCGTAATTCTTTGTTCCCAGTAACTAAGTGAAGGATAAAATATCGGAACTGTAATTCAATGTTGCCAATTACACATTCCTTTCTCAAACTGTGGTAGAGATTTAAAGAGTTTTCCAAGAAAATCAGTTTTTTTTTTTTAATTACTCTCATGTAAATTAAGATTTTTCAATTTTCGGAATCTACGATAACTTTCATATAAGATTTAGTCTGTAGCAAAGACGCCTTTGAAAATCCGTTTAAAATTTTATGAATGGTTCATTCAAAATTCTCGAAAATTGGGCGTTTCCAATCCGGAGTTCGGTAATCTTTGTCAATTTAGTGAGTTACTAACTCACGAACACCCACTTGCTTTCCACTTGAATCGTAAGATAATTCGATCACAAAATCGAGATAAAAAGTTGGCCTACAAAAATATTCGGCCGTTTGTCGTGACCTCTATCCCCAACATGTCAAGATAACGATATTATATAGGGTTAACGGCCCAATATTTTTGTAAAATATTTTGTTGATTTTATTATCAAATTATCTTAGGTTTCAATTGGAAATCAAATGAGTATTCATCAGTTTATAATATCTCATTCAATTAAACGACTCATTTCTGAGAATTTTCGTAGATAAAAAAGTTAGTGGTTAAGAAAAGATTAGCCCATCTGTAACGCTGACTGTGTGGCATAAATAATACCAAAAGGTTATTTTAATTTCAAAGCATCATGTCATTAATGAAGAAGTTTTTACTATGCTATAAAATATCATATATTACTATCATAGGCGCAGGCTAGGAGGGGGAGGAGAGCGATGTTGAGGGGAAGTGAATATCATTGGCTCACCCAATAATTTGACACAAAAAATTAAAATCAATAATAAATAAGATAAATGAATAAATAAAATGTATAAACTAAAATTAATGAAGAAAAGTTGGCTACCTAGCTAGGTCAGGGATATTTATCGATTTTGTAGATACCTAAATATTACTTTTATTTAAATTGTCATTTATATTCAAAGATAATAATATACAGGGTTTCCCGTAAGCAGAGGGAAATGTTTAAACACGTAATAGTAGATCTCTAGAATTATCAAAAACTTCAAATAAACAATAGTCCGATTTTCGGCAGAATAGTAGACAATTTAATTTTTTTTTTTTAAGTAAGTCATGGTTTTTGATGAATAGAAAGCGATAATTAAAACATAATTTAAAATAATTATTAAAAAATTGATTTACTGTAAACTAGACAAAATTTACTTCATACGAAAGTGGAGTTTGTAATTATTAAAACCATTTAAAGAGGACAATTAAGCGGATAAACAAAGCTAAGTTCTGTTTTTTTTTAAATTATGAATTACTTGCAATTTTTATTTTTCATCCTCCAACTTTACTATAACTCTCCAATTTTAGTAAAACTTCCTTGTTTAGTAAGCTATTAATTAAATTGAGGGTTAATTACTAAATAAGTTGAAATCCATCTCAAGTTGTGTAAAAGTATAATGTATTTTGATACCCTATCATCTTAAAGTACCAGTTTTTTCAGCAAAAATGACTGCTAAATTATCGCAAAGCTTTAATTTATTTAACCTTTACCTGGGATGTATTATATAAACATAAATTTGTAAATGCACTTTTTATTTATCACAAAAAAAAATGTTAAAAATAATGATTTTTCAAATATTTATAATTACTTTCACTATATATGTAATATATAGTAAGGGTAAGTATTGCGATCGAGAAAATTTTTGAATCTGGGTTTTCAAGAGAAATACACGTTTTGAGTTACCCTGAGTCGAAATGACCAAGTCCCGAAAAATGGTCTGTGTGTTTGTGTGTTTGTAGAAGAAGACTTTGACTTCAGTTAGTTTTTTGGTCACTGAGAACCAGCATTTGGCTTAATTTCGTTGTAGTTGGTCTTTTATTAAATCTGGATAGTCAGAGAATAATAAAAAATGAAAAAATAATTGGCTTATGCAATAAAAAACACCAGTAAATTCACTTTTTTAAAAAAAAAAATTTAAAGTTGAACCTTTACACTCCGAGGCAATTCCTGTCCACCAGTATTCCTTAATTCCATCCAGGCATCTTGGCTTTCATTTAGACCGAAGACTAACGTGGAACCCGCATACTAGACTCAAAAGACAAGAACTCAACCGACAATACGGCCAACTATACCGACTACTAAGCAGAAATTCTAAACTTTCTATTGAAAACAAGCTACTGATCTACAAGACAATACTGAAACCTATTTGGACTTACGGACTAGAACTGTGGGGATCAGCAAAATTTTCTAACATCAAGCGCATCCAATCCTTCCAGTCAAAAGTCCTTCGAACAATAGTCGATGCTCCTTTCTATGTAACCAACAAAACCCTACATCATGACCTCAACATCCCATTTGTCCTAGACCTTATCGCAGAAAAATTCTCCAAATTTCACCAGAACCTTGCGTACCACCCAAATCCTCTTGCACAAACCCTATCAAGCACCTCCCATCCCTATAATCCTCCAAGAAGGTTGAAACGGCAGTGGCCTCGCGACCTTTTGTAGTTGTATAAATTAGAGTTCTGGCAATGGCCAGATTCTTCACTCAAGACATGAGTGTATGTGGCTAAAGTGCTCTCGACCAATCTCCGCTGGCTTTAGTACCAGTGACGCGGTTGGGAGAGTAGCGCAGGGTTCTCCTGGAGTTCCCTCGCCTGATTGTATATAGGTATGCATGTGTTTTTTTTTCTTAGTTTTAATTTTCTTATTTTTTAGGTTATTTTATTTTATTATCTATTGTATATACTTTTGATTATTATTTTGTTCTATTTATTTTATTTTTTGTACATATAGTGTGAATGTCATCCTACCTCACTATAACCAATGTCCAAGAGACAGATTGTTATAATACTCAATAAAGAAATAAATAAAAAAAAAAAGTTGAAAATCAAACGTCGTTTGTAATCAAGCGACCAAAAATAAAGCAAATCATGGTGAAAGTCCATCGCCCCCATCCAATCAAAATCGGAAGTCTACGCCTATGATTACCATTATAATTATCAAAATTATTACAACTATCGCATCACTGAATGACCCCAAGGTCCTCAGAAATGGATTCAGCCTGTTATATGGTCGTGGGTATATAACAGGCGACAGGAGCATAGCGGCTTCTATTTTGTTGTTGTACTCAGGTTTCATCGTGCACATCACGGCAAATGTTATAGTTCCTATATAAAAAAAAAAATAAAAAAAAGAATTAATATTATTATATCACACAAAATCTCAAATATTAGTGTACTGAACACTGACCAGCACCCTTGAAAGAAGTATCGAAAGATTTGAGAGAAAAATCCTCCGCAGGACAACCCTGAGCTGTCTGAGATCAGGAGAACTAACACATAAATGAGAAAGACCAATAGAGAGCTGCTTACAGAAAATGGTCAATAAATATATCATGATATGAAGGCAAAGAGGTCAAGATGGGCGTGTAGTTTGAAGCAATTTATCTCAAAGCATCTAAATAAAGAATGCCTCAATAAAAGGCAGATGGAATCAAGGATGATGCAACAAAGCTACATGCAGAAAACTGGAAAGCAATAGCCCAAGATAGAGAAGCCTGGTTATTAATTATGTTTATTATTACATATTAATTATGAGAAAATTGTTAATTATGTACATATTGTTAATTATCGACTTATCCTAGGATGTTAGGATCGTTTAATTGTAAACACACTCTCATCCATCAATTCACAGACAATCTTTGAGGCTTATAATATTTAATATATATGCTATTAAAGACAATCAAGCCTGCAACTTATCTTAAGGGTATTTCAAAATTTAATTACAAATACTAGATAATTGAAAAATATTTATTTATAAATATAGGAAGAAAATGGTCCGGGGTGGCGGTCATAAATAGGCTAGTTAGTGACTATTTTATTAAAAGCCAATGTTTCGACCCGATTATGCAGGTCTTCTTCAGGGCTAGAACGGACAAGATGCAAAAAGATAGAGATTGTGGAAGTCGTCACATAATATTTAGACAAAAAATTATAAACAATGTGAATAAGCTTATTAAATATAAACAGTAGTATAAATAAACGAGTAAGCTAAGTAACAAGATCCTAAACTGAAGTTAATAGATGGTAACAATTGTTGTAGTGTAATAAATAATATATGCAAATGTTAATATATTTCTACAGATCTACAGGAGAGATTGAAAGAAAAAGAAAAGGAAAAAGAATATAATATGAAATGATAGGCATAAAGGAATGTGGAGAGAGAAAATAAAAAAAAATAAGTAAATAAAATTAGAAGAATAAAGATAGAGACTTACAGGTGTGTGTCAGCTAGGAGTTCCACTTAGAACTGGAAAATCAGGGTAAGGGCAGGTATTTGGGAATTTGCTGACTTGCTTGGGTAATGGGGAAAACTTGTTATGTATCTTGTCCGTTCTAGCCCTGAAGAAGACCTGCAAATTCGGGTCGAAACGTTGGCTTTTAATAAAATAGTTTTGCCACTATTAGCCATTATGACGTATCCGACCATCTCTTACTTTATAATGCACAGTCACTATAATATCATAGTTATTATAATTGTTCTGAGTCCTAAGAAGTGTTTTAATGGAATGAAATATACAGTTTCTCCCATAAATTTCTTTTATTAATTTGAATGTGACGTTTCGGGATTTATTTTATTCCATCTTCAGACTGGAACAAGAAATTTTTATGTATGTGTTTTAACAATGTATATATTTCAATACTTTATCATATTACTATCCAGTTGCCAATCTTACCTGATTTATTATCTTTGTATCATCTTATTTATCATAAGACTTGTCATTTTATTATTTAAAAATTACTTAAAAAAAGCAATACATTTTTTCATATTATATACATTGTTATTTAGAACTTTTCATTCTTATCTGCCACATCATCTATTTTCAAAGTGTTCTGATAATTTAAATATCCTATGTTTTAAATATGGGACATAGTAAACTCACATTTTGCAACAGTTTCCATTGATTCCATTAAGTTTTATTTTAATGAAATTTACATCTGTATTACATGAAAAATACAATAAGTAAATGTAAAATTTTCAATAAAGTATAAATGAAGTCTTTTCCGACCAATTGTTATGTATGATTAAATATAGTCTTGATGTTTTTGTTTTAGTTCTGAATATATTTTATATTATTATATTATAATATATTATATTAATTATTAACCAACATATCGTGGATTTTCATATTTGCATAGAATAAGTACCTTGTGTTAACGATGGCCAAGGTCTTACTGAAATTAAAGCCTTATGGTAATGATTAATACAAAATCCAGCTGATTTGGGTTTCGGTAATTATCTTGCATATTAAGTCGAGAAAGCTATACACAAAAACGGACTATCATGTAATTTGTTTTATCTTCAATTAATTGTAAGCTGAATTGCTCTGCTTCTTTGATCACAGTTTTTTACTTTCACTTACGTATATATGTAATATATAGTGAGGGTAAGTATTGCGATAGAGAAAATTTTTGAAACTGAGTTTTCAACGGAAATATAGCTTTTGAGGTACCCTTAGTCGAAATGACCAAGTCCCGAAAAATGGTCTGTGTGTCTGTGTGTTTGTATGTTAGCAGTCTAGCTCAAAAATGAAAAGTCCTACGCAACTGATATTACGTATTTAAGATAGGTATATGCCTTAGATGTGACGGCAATTTTTTCCTTAAAATCGGCTAACCGGAAGTGCCACTTTATATCAACACTGAAACACATTTTCACAATTTCCTCAAAAACGGCTCTAACGATTTTTATTAAACTCGGTGTATCATTGTATAATTAAGTGGTCTTTAATATCAATTAGGCCTTATCTCCATTGATGTCACTTTACAGGGCTTAAATGCCCAATGTCCATATACGTCTTCCTCTAAAGTAATTTTAATATGTTTTTTTTTAAAAAGTTAATCATTTCACATTATTCAGATATATTAAAAAATGCTAAATATGACTTTTGAAAGAATACTATACTAAGAATACAGAAGACATTCAAAAGAAAAAAATATTATTAATGTGGAAAATGTAGCGAACCAAATGTGAACAAGAAGATTCAAACTAAAATAAATAAAAAGTCACTAGCTCCAAGTAGTTGTGTTGCCAATATAACACTGCAAGATAGATGCAACAAAATTAAAATAAATATTTTTTTTAAAAATAACTATGCACAGCAATTTCATCCCAAACTCTTCAATCACACATCACAAACCTTCAAAAATAGTGGCAACCAATAAATCCTACCGAATCACCATTACCCTTCTTCGTAAATCAATGACTTCCGGTCCTATATCTATCTGTCTATATACAATATCCTTTAACAATACCCCACTTATCCCTGTTGAACGAATCCATGTATCAGACTTAAACGACAAGAAACTACTCGACGTTTCCGACTATTTCATCACATACTAGACAAACGCTCTAATCTTCCTAATTATTACAAATGGATCATAAATATGACTACAAGGCCTATATGGATTTACGGAGTTGAGCTATGGGGTTCTAAACCATCGAATTTCTCTTGTATCCAATCATTACAGTACAAAATATTTCGTAAAAGCCTCAATTTGGTTTCAAATAAAATCATCCATAATAAAACCTTAATGTTCCTTATGTTTGCGATTTGGCCCAATCGTTTCTCGTTTCTGACTTTGCTTTCTCATCGATCTCCCTGTCCTACAGTTTCCTTTAACAATACTCCACTTACCCCTGTTGAGCAAATCCGATACCTAGGACTCCACCTGGACAAACGACTAACTTGGAATCCTCATACTAGACTGAAACGACAAGAAACCGCTCGACGTTTCCGATTACTTCAGCACTTACTAGACAAACGCTCTAATCTTCCAATTAATTACAAAAGACTCATATATTTGACTATAATAAGGCCTATTTGGACTTACGGAGTTAAGCTATGGGGCTCCACTAAGCCATCGAATTCCTCTCGTATCCAATCCTTACAATCAAAAATCCTTCGTAAAATCTTCAATGCTCCCTACTTTGTTACAAATAAAATCATCCATAATGACCTTAATGTTCCTTTTGTTTCAGATCTGGCCCAATCCAGATACTTATCCTTCCATAATAAACTTCAGAATCATCCCAACCCTCTCGTTTCTAACCTTGCTTCCTCTTCAATTCCTGATAACCTTACGAGGCAGCTGAAAAGAAGATGGCCGCGTGATCTCCTAATGCTGACATGTTATTAGAGTGCTACCAGCGGATAGTTTTTCAACAAGTGTTTTCATGTCATCATATTCACTTGTACATATTTATAAGATATATTTTTTAAATAATACAGTTGTAAATACCACGAATAAATAACAAAAAATAAATAAATAAAATAACTATCATACATAAACTATTACCTAGAGAATGTCCGACATAGAAGATTTTTTTAAGCTTGCGTACTTCCAATATCTTGTCAACGGCGACAGGTAAATCATATATTCCTGATTCATGAAAACTAAAAAAAAAAAAAAAAGAAAGAATAAATTAATAAGATTCCCATATTTCCTGGATTTTTGTCCAATAAAAAATAGGAAAAACAAACAGCAAAAAACTCAAAATGTGCAAAATAAATAAAAACATAAAATATGTAAAATTATGTAATTGATACCTAAAAAAATTCTGATACCATATAATTTACTAGATTAATATGTGAACACCTAGTTTGAAAGCTTTAGAACTAAAATAATATGGAAAACAAATATTAAAATGCAACATTGAAAATTTAAATTCCTAAGATTTTTTAGGAAAATTAATAAATACAGGGTAATAATTTAATTTGAGATCTCCAAGTGTTTAAATATTGTTCTTTTTCTAAACCACTTTAAAAAATATTTGGAACTATTGAAAAAAATAAATTCAACTCTTCAATAGAAATTTTTTGTTTACCTGTTCAACAATGAGCCTATTATACCTGTGATTTCTTATCACTCCAGATGAGTTTTCAAAGAGTGTACAACTTTTCCATCAAATTTCAACTCGCAATAATTCAGATTATAATTTCTGATAAGTGACTAGAATTTACTTTTGACATTATTCAATTTATTTTTTAATTTTTAGTAATAATGAAATTACTAAAATTCATGTCAAAGGCAGAAGTAATATTAAAGGATTGAAGAATGAGTGAGAATTCAACTCAAAACTATAACAATGAATATCTTTCTAATAAAATAGCTTATTCTAGGAAGGCAGTTTTTTATTATTATCCAATATTTTAGTCAAGTTCTATTCCAAGAATATTCTCAAATTCTGTTTTCTTTTCATTCTGTAAGTTAAATTCGAACTATTGCAAGTGTTAGAATTATTTGTTATCTCAAATTAAATTATTAATTTAATATGGACATGATAGTAGAATAAAAAGGTAAATATTTTCACACACACATATGTATATTTATATTTATAAATCATCCAATCGAGCACTAAAAGTGCAATCTGATGGAACAGAAATCAAAATCGTGCAATTTAGACCAAAAACACCAAAATGTGCCACATAAAATTTTATGTTATTATGTAGGTCCTGACTTTACGGCAAATATTAGAGAAAAAATTGGAGTACAACGGTATTGTTCACCAGCTGTATATAGATTTTAAAAAGGCTTACGATTCTATTGACCGCCAGAAACTGTAAAATATTCTAATCGAGCAGGGGATTCCAAAAAAACTAGTAAATCTAGTCAGGATGTGCTTGACGGAGACACTCAATAAAGTTAGAATCGGTAATAATCTGTCCGAAAAATTTGAGGTTCGTTCGGGTTTAAAACAGGGGGATTCCCTTTTGCCTGTCCTGTTCAATTTGGCATTAGAACATGCCATTAGGGAGGTAATGCGTACCGAGAAAGGGTTGGATCTGGACGGGACAACATCCGTGCTGGGCTATGCTGATGATCTGGTACTGTTAAGCGAAGACGTTGAAACTATAAAACTAAATACGACCACGTTAATCAAAGCCAGTAAAGAACTAGGACTCGAAATAAACGTGGATAAAACAAAATATGTGGTTAGCTGCAAAAATGGCGATACTACTGGTAATATCGATATAGATGGTAATATGTTTGAACAGGTAGATAAGTTTAGGTATCTAGGTTCTACGATAACTAGAAAAAACGAAATTGAAGAAGAGATTAAGGTTAGACTGAAGGCGGGAAATGCTTGTTATTTTTCTGTGACAAAACTACTTAGTTCGCGTCTCTTGTCCCGGAACTTAAAAATTAGAATCTATAAAACAATTATCTTGCCTACAGTTCTTTATGGATGCGAAACTTGGCCGCTAACATTAAGGGATGAGCAGCGTCTTAAGGTTTTTGAAAATAAAGTATTGCGTACAATATTCGGACCGAAGAGGGATGAATTAACCGGAGAGTTCAGACGGTTACACAACGCCGAATTGCGTGAACTGTATCCGGGTAATAAAATTGAGGTAATTTCATCGTGGCGAATCAAATGGGCTTGTAAAGTTGTTGGGCTTAGTAACGAGAGAATTCCTAAAAGGTTAATATTTGCTGTGCCGAATGGTAAGCGTCCGAGGGGTAGACCGAAGCGAAGGTGGGAAGATTGCATTAAAGCCGATCTGAAGGGACTGGGTTTGGACGGCGAACGTTGGAGGGAGGTGTGTAATAAGCGATTGGTGGTGTCGGCATCGAACCTTCGGGTTCGCTAAGTCTTTTATTATTATTATTATTATTATTATTATGTAGGTCCTGAAACGGATAGATGATCGGATTTGAAGTTTTTACACGCATGAATAAAATGCACAATAACATGGAAATCTGGTCTATAGTTAAAATTAAAAAGAAGAATAATAATACATACAATACAATATATAAAATAATTTACTGTGTCTAATTATCTGTTGGAATGATAACTGACCTGAAATCCCAAAATCTAGGGTCTGTTCTATTATACTTGATACTGTACTCGTTGAAGAAAGTTCCTCTGTGGTTGGACAGCCATACATCGTACCCTAGATCCAGCAACATGAAGGCTAAAATTCGAAAATAAATTTATTATTTTTTAAAATAGAATCACAAGCGATAATGAAGTAATTGGGTACTTGCATAAATTTTAGGTTATAACAATAAAAATGCAAAAAGCCATGATTATTTCTGATGCATATTTGCAAAGATAATTAACGTTAAGGAACGTCACGAGAGTGGATACAAGATTTCATCACGCTACGACAGTAGCTAGCTTATATGGTTGGGTATCTTATGGACAGCTTCTTCTAGTGTTTCGAGCATCATTTCCATTCAAGAAATATCTTTCTGTTTTTTCTCTCGCTCTCTCTACTCTGTTATAAAACTTATTACTTTAGATCTTAGAAAAATTCTACAGATTAAGTACATTAGTTATATTGACATAAAAATAGTAAAGTCCAACTAAATTAATAAATTTAACTTGACAATAAATTAAAGGCATTGTCAAGAAAGATAATGATAGGTGGAAGAGCTGTTGAGCAAAGATAATCTATACAATGTCACCAATTATTTAAATAAAAAATCTGATGTGTCCACTCACATGATACTCCTACCGATTTTAAACTATTTTTTTTTTCAATTTTAAATATTTTCATCTAAAATAACACCATTAAATTAGACAAATTTTCCTGATAATCTATTAGAAAAATAATTATAGTACGATTTCTTTGATGAACTAAAGTAATGCAAATGGTCAATTGAACAATTATTAAAATCAGTGCATAAAATGCAATACACCGTAACGTTGCTAAAACTGGTTCGATTTAAACGATTTTTTTAATATTTAATAGTTGACCGTTGCATTATGAAGGAAGGAGATGATCCAAGGTGGCGGTCATGAATAGTGAAAAAACTATTTTATTAAAAGCTAACGTTTCGACCCGACTTTGCAGGTCTTCTTCAGAGATAGAACAGAAGGTGTTTTCAGCTAGGAGTTTCATTTAGAACTCAATTCACTTCACTCAGTTCTAAGTGAAACTCCTAGCTGAACACACCTTCCGTTCTAGCCCTGAAGAAGACCTGCAAATTCGGGTCGAAACGTTGGCTTTTAATAAAATAGTTTTGCCACTATTCAGCCTATTCTCCTTCCTTGATTTTTTAAATAGTTTTGTCGGAAAATAAATAACTTTTTAAAAAATGTTATCAGTAGATATCATAGAGATATTACTATTATTTTTCAGAAGTGGGAAATCTAACTAAACCCCGAACGAAAAATTTAAAGATTTAAATACAAACTATATTGGTTCAATCGATTCTTTACATATGGTAGCTAAAATTGTTTATTAACTATTTTGCCTTAAATTTTATTCACATAAACGTTTTTATTTATTTATGTTTTATTATTTATTTTTTTTACTAGACATGATCTAGGCCTTGCAAAGTCCAAGACCAAGACCGATTTCGGGTAACACTAATGATATGGCTGATACATTAGATAGTATTGTGTGTAGTAGTGGTATTCTTCACGCTATGGTGGACTCTAGCTACGTCCACAGGTCCCTCCATATATCCAAGATGCAGTGTTATTTCAAGATTTAAGCTAAGTTAGAATATTTTTTTTACCCGACTAAGCGAAGTGAAACGAGGATTGTGTTGTCCGCTAAAAAACTATATAATGATATTCTTCAAGCGAATGGCTTGGATGGTTCGATTTTAAGTTTGATGGCCCAAATTTTTCGGTGAAATCGCCGAGAGAATTTTTCGAGAGAGTATTTCGTAACAATTTGAGCTAAAATCACTGACCCGAATGTTAGGAACATTAATATATACGTATTTTTAAACTTGGCGGTTAAGGGTGGTTTATTAGTCGGGTGCCTTTCACTACACATTACAGCTCCTGGCAAATATATTTTATCCAGGTATCGGTGCTTTTAAACGTACTAAAGAGTCTTGAGTTTCGTTCGGGGTGTGTTAAGCGACCGACTACTAAACCAAGTTTAAATATTCGTTGATGTCAATTTCTCTATCAATCTACCAAGATGTTTAAGTAGGTATGGAAGTATATTTCCATAGAATGGATAGGATTTTCTGACTTCAGTAGTCAGTCTGGTTTTCTTTTTAATCCAAATATTTTTTTATTTACTATTTGAAAAGTGCTAAAATTTACGTGATTTTTCATTTCTTGCAAGTACCCGATTTAGCATCATGTTTACGTAATCATGTACGTACCAAGGTCCTTCTTGTTGTGTCCTCTTGTGATCCAGGAGTCTGCTGCCAACATAATTCCATGCTGTATAAGAACAGGAGATCCGGAGTTCTCGCCAATCCTGTGGAGCCAAATGCTGTAGCCATCCTCTGTAAATAATTCGTAATTGGTGGCTTTATATCCTCCTCTTTTTGCAAGCTGGTTCTAGGAAGTAAAAGAGTAACAAATAGTCAACTAGAGTTAAAGTAAAAATCGAAAAAGTAGTTATTTAATAACAATATTAAAAACATAGATACGTAGTAATATAATTTAGTAACAATATCATTTAATCGCATAAACTTTTTGAAAAATAAGACCTGTGAAAAGATTTCAATTTAAAAACGTAGCAAATTATTTCATACTGGTTTATTATTTCCCAAAAGTTATGCATCTAAAGTAACATTACCTTTCTAGTGACAAATTTAAAGAAATAAAAAGTTAATTCCAATTATTTGCCTAAACATCATTAGTAATTTGTTAAAAAAAAAAATAGCATTACTTCAGTAACACATTTAAAAATCAAAATCCAAACCAAAGGATTTTCAGTAGAAACATAAAAAAAAAATCTAGAGACCATATCTTTGCTCCAAATTTTCCAATTTTAACAATTTTTTTTTTTTTTTATGGTAATTTCATAAACTTTTAATAACCATCGTATAAAAAAAAACACTATGATAAAGGTCGTGATATATTAAAGATAGTGCTCGATTCAAAAAAATTATTTATTTTATTTTTGGACAATTTAAATATCTTTGAACATTGAGTTATTCGGAATCTAACAACCCCTCGTAATTTTTTTCCAGCTTCTTTTCGTTGAAGTATGTTATGTACATTAATTTAAAGGGCATCGAGAAGAAGACTTTAGCCAAGTTTCATTGAAATCGGTACATTCGTTAAACCGCTGCAGTCTATTGCAACGCAGGTTTTTCGGCCGCCATTTTGAAAGGAAAAGGCGGATAGTAGTGTCAATCACTAAAGGATCCAGGATTTCATTTTGGGGGGCTTCAGCCCGAAATTTTTTTTTTTTGGTAAAAATAACGATAATTACTTTGGAAAAACAGAAAGAAACTAACTACCTACATGATATGGTGTTAAAGTGATTCTTTAAGTCCTTTTAAATGTAATTACACGAACAATAATACTTTAAGAGGTATTTTTTAAATTGTTTTCTCCATAAAACATGGTTTTATTTTACCATTTGGAGGAGGGGCTATAGCCCGAAAGCCCCTCCCCCTCCACCGTAGATCCGCCCGTGGTGTCGATGAAGGAGGATCATCTCCAAATTTGGAAAAAAAAAAAAAAAAAAAAAAGGTCTAGTAGTTTCGGAGGAAATGCGCGGAGGACGGACCGACAAACAAATTTTTATTCCTTTTTCAAATTCTACATATTCTGATGCGTAAACCGCAAATTTTTTGGACCGCACCAAATTTTTCTATATCTGTTTGTAAAATATATTTCGGCAGCAGTTTTTTTTTTTAAAGTTTTTAATTTTTTTTGTTTATTTAGACATGGTTGATTTGAAATTGTGTTCGGTAGGTTGGAATTCGGTTGGTTGATTTGGAATAGAAGAGGACAGGAACTAGAAAAAAAAATTTTCACGACACCCCTATCATTAATTTATTTTCCAACATACACTATAATATACATATACATAAGGTACGAGCCCCATGAATATTGTTATAAAGATATATCTGGGTGAATAATCCATGTCTAGAAAATCGAGTCACGTGGACGTCACGGAAGTCTCACGAGATAATGTTATCAACACTATACTCTAATAACAAAGTTTATCCCCCAAATTTTTTCAGGTGTTCACTTTTTTATGGGTTTATTTACCTAGGAAATTTTCTGTAATACCATTGTTTTCAATTCAAAGCTTTTATTTTGATAGAGATATTTAATAGATTAAAGATATTTTTACGTTTGATCCATTCCGATTAGATAATAGAATAGCCACGAGGAACATAATGAGAAAGCTATTGTATTGAAATAGCATATTATTCTTGAGAATTAGTAATTTATTGTAACTAAATTATCATAAAAGTTTATATAACAAGAAACAAAAATAAAAAAAACACGTGTATATTAAAAAAACAAAACATATTACAGATTCATAATATCAGATTAATAAGTTCTCTAAGGCCCTCCGCTCACGAGGCGAGAAAACTCGAGGAGAACTGTGCGTCAAGCTTAACTTACTCGTCATGTGCGTCAAGTGCCTCCCCAACGAGGCGAGAAAATTCGAGCGAGAAAAATCGAGAGTTGCACTCGACGAACTGTGCGTCTTATGCGATTTTAGCTACAATATATATGTATATTAATACTTTTTAATATCGGGAATGAAGACTTTGTTTTTCACTGTTAAAACAATTTTTCGGCAATGTAGAAGTAGACGAAAATAAGAAAATAGTGTAGATAATTTTCTAAATTTTCATTAGATTTTTCTCTTTTATCTTGTGAATAGCTGATAGGATTTTTATCATTGATTTTCTAGTGGTCCAACCATTTTCGACCAACGAAAAAGTAGGCAAAGATAAGGAAATAATGTAGAGAATTTTCCGAATTTTCATTCGCTTTTCCTCTTTTATTTCGGAAATGAATGCTCGGATTTTCACTGTTCTAATCATTTCCCAACTTTTAAGAGGTAGGCCAATGGAAACTGTAGTGGTACAAATATTCCTAATTTTCTTTGGCTTTTCCTCTTTTATAATGGAATGGACGGTCGGTTATTCATTGTCCCAATAATTTTCCAACTGTTTGGAGTTTGGCAAAAATGGGGAACGAGTGCAAACCTTTTCCAAATTTTCATTCGCTTTCTTCTTTCATCTCGGAAATGAAGGATCGGTTTTCTAGTGTTCCAACCATTTTTCGGTAATGTAAAATTAGGCGAAAATAATGAAATAATGTAGAGAATTTTCATTCACTATTCCTCTTTTATTTCGGGAAAGGATGCTCGGATTTTCACTGTTCCAACCATTTACCAACTGTTTAGATGTAGACCAACGGAAATTGTAGTGGTACAAATTTGTTGAATTTAGATTCGCTATTCCTCTGTTATTCGGTGAATAGATGATCGGTATTTCATCGTCTCAAATATTTTTCAGCTGTTTAGAGTTAGGTGAAAATTAATGAAAAAGTGCAAACATTTTATGAATTTTCTTTCGGTTTTCTCATTTTTCCAAGAGTTTTTTCGGCAGTTTAGAGATGAGCAAAAATGGGGAAATGGTGGAGAAAGGTTTCCGAATTTTCATTCGTTTTTCCTCTTTTCTCTCATGAATGGATTTTCACTATTCCAACCATTTTGCGAACTGTATAGAATGGAGACAGTAGTGGTACAAATTTTCCGAATTTTCTTTAGCTTTTCCTCTTTTAATACGTGAATGAATGCTCAGTATTTCATCATTACAACAACTTTCAAGCTGTTTTATTTTGGTGAAAATGTGTAAAAAGTGAAAATTTTTATGAATTTTATTTCTTATTCCTTTTTGAACTCGCGAACGAAGGGTCGGCTTTCAGTTCTCCAACAATTTTTCGGCAATGTTTAGGTAGGCGAAAATGGAAAAATGGTGTAGATAATTTTTCGAATTTTCATTCGCTTTTCCTCTTTTCAAACAATTTTCGAACGTTCAAGCGAGGCAAAAATTTCGTCGAGAAATTCGCGAAATTTTTCGAGCTGCGAAAAACGAATATAAGCTATGTTCCTCCCTAAAAAATTATTTACCCTTGAAACAAGACTGATTTTTAATAAATATTACATTTGGTTGATAGCTACAGTATTAGTATAATTTGGACCAAGCTATGTGGGGATACATATTTTTTTTATGGAGAAACTAAATTTATATTCGTTTTTCGCACCACAAAAACCCTACAAATTTTTATAGCAATTGGAATTAATTCGAAACGAGAGGGCCCCGAAACATGTGGAATTCCCCAACCACACTACTTCTAAGTAAATTTCTACACAGATCCCCAACAAGGCGAGATGGAATCGTAGCGAGAGGGAGACTCGAAATCGAAGCGAGACGACTTGACCAAGAAGCGAGATGGAATCGAACTGTGCGTCAAGTGCCTCCCCAACGGAGCGAGAAAAATCGAGAGAGCTAGGCGCGGTGCCCCAACAACACTACTTCCCAGTCAATTCCTATATATCTCCTAACGAGAGAGTAGAAATTCAAGCGAGATAGCAGTGAATTGTTTAAGCGAGAAAATTCGAGCTTGACGCATGAATTACTTTATAAAAAAAATTATGGCCGTATTATAATTAATAAAACTCATTCTTGTTTCTATTTCTTTGATTATTTCTATAGTATGATAAGTGATATTTTATTTAGGACTTCTTTATGGTGTAAAAAATTTTCCGAATTTTCGTTCGCTTTTCCTCATTCATGTTCGAAATGAGTGCACGGATTTTCAATGTTCCAAATATTTTCCTAATTTTTAAAGATAGGCCAATGAAAACAATATTGGTGAAAATTATCAGAATTTTCATTCGCTTTTCCTCATTTATCTCTAAAATGAGTACTCGAATTAACATTTTTCCAAAATATTTTCAGCAATGTAGATGTAGACAAAAATAGCGAAATGCTGTAGAAAATTTTCCAAATTTTTCTTCGCTTTTCCTCTTTTATCTCCTAAATTAGAGCTCGGATTTTTAATGTTCCAAACATGTTTCTAATTTTTAAAGATAGGCATTTATCTTCTGAATGAGTTCACGGATTTTCACTGTTCCTAACATTTTCCCAATTTTTAAAGATATGCCAATGAAAACATTATTGGTGAAAATTATCCGAATTTTCATTCGCTTTTCCTCATTTATCTTCTAAATGAGTGCACGGATTTTCGCTGTTCCAAACATTTTCCCAACTTTTAAAGATAAGCCAATGAAAGCAGTATTGGAGAAAATTATCCGGATTTTCATTCGCTTTTCCTCATTTATCTCTAAAATGAGTACTCGAATTATCATTTTTCCAAAATATTTTCAGCAATGCAGATGTAGACAAAAATAGCGAAATGATGTAGAAAAGTTTCCAAATTTTCCTTCGCTTTTCCTCTTTTATCTCCCAAATGAGAGCTCGGATTTTTAATGTTCCAAACATGTTTCTAATTTTTAAGGATAGGCATTTATCTTCTGAATGAGTTCACGGATTTTCACTGTTCCTAACATT